ATATGCTGTTCTTGCTTTGCCGATCCGCTTATTCACATGTGCATCGGATCCACCGTGTTCATCGATGATAATGCCCAAATATGTAAAGGATTTTACATCTTCCAAATCTTCTCTGTCAATTGTGATTGGATTGGTGCATGTTGTGTTGTATCGAAGAATCTTGCTTTTCCCTTTGTGTATATTGAGACCTATTGCTGCTGAGGCTGCAGCTACACTGGTTGTCTTCTCCTGCATTTGTTGTTGTGTGTGCGATAGAAGAGCCAGATCATCTGCGAAGTCTAGATCATCCAACTGCATCCTAGCTATCCACTGTATCCCGTGCTTCCCTTCAGATGTTGATGTCTTCATGATCCAGTCGATCACCAGGAGAAAGAGAAAGGGTGAGAGTAAGCAACCTTGCCTGACACCGGTCTTTACTTCGAACGACTTTGTCAACTGTCCTCCATGAACGATCTTGCAGTTTAATCCATCATAGGAATTCTGTATGATATTGACTATCTTCTGAGGCACGCCGTAGTGTCGAAGAAGCTTCCATAGGGTTGTTCTGTCCACGCTATCAAATGCTTTTTCGTAGTCGATGAAGTTGATATAGAGTGATGAATTCCATTCAATTGATTGTTCCACAATGATCCGTAGGGTTTCGATTTGGTCTGTGCACGATCTATCCTTACGGAATCCTGCCTGTTGGTCTCGAAGTTGTGCGTCTACGGAGTCCTTCATCCTGTTTAACAATATCGATAACATCAATTTTATTTTCCGCAATGTGTTCATTTTTATCGATTATCTTTCTGGTAGCTCACTCTATAATCTCCTGGCACATTAATTTAGCCACTTTAAAAAAAATCAATTGGACAACCTATTTGTTACGTTTAGATTCCAGAACTTGATTTTAAGCCCCACCATCAATATTAGTTACACTATCCAGATTCCTTAAATGAAGTCGCTGAGGTAAGGTTCAAACTTGTGACCTATCGATTGAAAAGAACTGTGTTTTAATCACCATTCTATCGCTTTACGTTAGTATTTTTGGTTGAAAGCTAATATGTATTTTAGAGAATGGAACTATAAAGCAACAAGACATCGGAAGTCATACACTATTGTTCATCTAAATAACTCACTTTCACCTCATTCTACGCTGAACATCCCATTGTGTAAAATTTGTTTTAACTAGTAGTCATATTTGGTAAGATGACCTAACACCACTTTGTGAAATTTGAATTTTACTGTTAATTTATATTTTTACCGACTGTTTGCTTTCATTGCACGTGATGATTAAGTTGATTCCTGACATTGCCCATCGTGATTGTTTAAATAAATTGTGTGAAAATTTACAAAAGTATGTATTAACCATACGCCATCTAGAACGTATCATTATTTGGTTATATTATGACTTGTCACTTAATGTGCTATATGTGTTCATTCCTTATTTTATTTAGGTCGTAAATGATTAAGATTTTAATACTAATTGTTTTAAATTTACCACAAACCTTTGGGACAAACAAAGTGATGATGACTGGGAGAAGTATGTGAGACTCGAGAGGATCCTTTGATGTAAGATCGTGCTGTAATCTGGTAATCATGACTGGTCTAACTTCAGCTAGTAGCGTCCAAGGAGGAGTTATTTATGACTACAAATGAACAAAGTAAGACTCATCAGTTGCATGCGTCTAATGAGGTCATTTATAATTATGGGTATAGGCAGCCAGAAGTGGGGTGATTTGATCTGACTACAAAATCAGCAATTTATTCTAAAATATAGGAACTGTAGGGTATCTTTTGCAAATGAACTACATTCAGAAGTTAGGGCGTTTGAAATCAAGCTAAAGCTGACAGTAGTCGCCTTTTATTAAGACAAGACACGTTCATTAATATGCATGTTATCATAACTGAGGAGATTTCAGTATCTTGTATGTGCAGTTTGCTAAGTGTCTGCAGTTACTCATACCCACTTAAGAAAGTAAACAGGACTGTCATGATTATTATTTCGACATAAAAAAAAGATCTGTTGTGTATAAAATAAATTTTAGCATAGTTTTAGCGTTACAAGTCATTATTTTAATCTTTAATCTCTTCTTTACAAGTAAAAACTAGTCAGAATCTAAGTGAATTACTGGTATTTGATATGAATCATCTACAACTGTCAACATTTTAACAAAAAACATCTATAGACTAACAAACGTAATATTTACAGCACGATTTCATGTGCAACCGTTCTTCTCTCACAGCAGAAAACAGACTTAACGAATTCCACACGTCATTATTTTATGCTGTTGAACAGACTGAATAAAATAATTTGAGCAGAATAATATTAAGCTATATCATTTAAATGATTAATCCTAACTGCTTACAACCTTATTCAGTTTGATAACAGAGTCTAATCAAAGGTAACAAGAATAACATGCGCTGACCAACCAAACAGATTGCAAATAATTAGATGTAATTAGTGTTCTTTCTGTTCGTCCTTAAATGTAGATATAACTTTTTTAAAAATAAGAATTGGAGCTGAGTACCTGACGCGAACAACTGAGATCAAACTGATTCATGTAAATCTGATGCGATTGTTGTCTTCGTAGACGTTAAGATTTAGGAAAGGAAATAAACAAGGATAAACTACCTTAATAAGTAATTACTACTTAAGTATTACGTCATCATTAGTTTAGTTTCTTACAGTTAGGCATTAAAAATACCAAAACGATTAGATTTTCAGCTTGATAATAAATAAAAATAGGTGAGAATATACATTTATCATCACCCTACCTTAATATCATATACAGTATTAACGTATTTGACTTCTGGATTTTAGTACCCTCACTGATGAGGCTAGCATTAGTCTGTCAGCCAGTTTATGAGCCCAATCACTGATATTTTGTATCATTGTGGAAGTTTAATACCTCCATTTCACTAGTCCTTGCGTTTTGCTTTTTTATAACTGATATTCTTAGAAGCCGAGATGGATGATAGCTAGCAGTGGGATCCAGGACATAGGTTTCATCCTATCTGGAACTCGTCAGATGGATGAGCTTACATCCCATAGCTGATTTTCATATCAGGACTTCAACCCAGTACCGTTCGCTTCAGAAGCCATCGCGTTATTCACTTAGCTACTGAGTTTGGATAGCCACTGGTCCGTGTAATGGATTCAAACAACCAATACAAAGTATTTTTAGAGCCTCACTTTTTCCATTTTGTTGGTATCCTTTCAGATGACTAATATATATGTCTAATATGATGAATAAACGCTAATATGCAATTTTAATGGCCGACACGTAACCTTATGGTGTGTGCTACTTATGTCGACAGACATAAACAATACATAACACCAATCAGAAGTGGTATGCCTGGCAGCAGAAGGTTAGGAAGACTGAATCGAAGAGAATGAGAACAGAGAGTAATTGCAATAACAATGAAGGAACGATGAAGTTTGAGACAATTTATGGAGAATTTGCAAGTGAAGTATCAAATGTATGGTTGTTCTCGTTCACTACAATTTTACTTACGAAAATCCTGTTTTCGAATGAATTAAGTAGTTATGATATGAAAAACAATAACATTGTTTTATCCGAAATAACTTCGAATATATGCTACAAGCTAGAGACCAAATGAATTAGATGGAGTGAATGAAGATAACCAACAACATTAACAGAATCAGATTGTTAAATTACTTTTTTTTCAAAAAAGAACTCAGAACTAAGTGTTTAAAAAGTATATGTTTTGAAATCTAATTTTAAATAACACGAAATAATTTTAATTAACGAAAATTTTTAAACAATCATTTAAAGTGCCATTTTCATAGGTATTTTTGGATAAGGTTTATAATCAATCAGTTTAAAATCTTCAAACTTAAAATCATCAATATTCTTGACTTCTCGAACGATCTCTAATTTTGGGAATGGCCGCGGTACACGTTTAACCTATAAAAATGTAGTAAAAAGGAATATGAGGATGTAATTAGTTTTGGTGATTTAACTTTTCTAACTAAGATTTCATGGCAGTTAAATTGAGGTAAAAGTAATGAGTAGAGTATCTAAAATCTTTGATGACATATTTGAGATCGTTTTAAAAGGAAGAAAAACAAATGGTTTTCTGTAACTGTTCGAACAATAACAGTAAATGGGCTTGAACATCACAATCTAGTCAGGAGTATAATTTCAAATTTAGAAACTAAGCCATCTATGTAGACTGCTATAACATCGAAAAAAAGCTCTCAATTTGTGATTGATCAATAAGAATGCAACCTTACGGGATTCGAACACGTAGCGTATTGGCTATATTGGAGTCACGCAACGGACAGTAAATCGATAATCCTCACTATTAAGAACAAAACGCAACTTTTGAAACTACGCATTGATAACTAACACCATCTTACCTATATATTCATATAAATACACGATGAATCATTTATTGCCCTTAAACATAGTTCGATAACTGCAATCAATATGCACTTTCACCGCACTATAAAGAGTTTAGAGTTAGTCTCCCCAAAAAACCTTTATAATCGTCATATTTACGTAAGTTCCATTCGTCCTTCAACTAAGATCGTACGTAATACTATCTTCATTATGCCTTAGTAGTCGTGCAACAAAACGACGTCGAGGGCATCTCCTTTCAACTAAAAAAAAAATTACACATAGCTTTATGGTCAAAAAGGAATATGACTTCGTGTATCTCATCTCTACAGTCACTTTTCTGTTCCCTTGGTCATCCTAGTAGTACATATTTAATAGTAACCTGATATATCTGGTCACAATACCGACTACGCATTTTCTGACTACACTAATAGTTATTGTTCATAAGGGTAACGGGCTTAAGTATTTAGCACTCACATACATAGTTCGTACTTTTTTCCTAAAGTACTATATTTCTGTAACATACACTCACTCATCCCTCACGTATCATTGTGCCGTATAGTACATTTCTTTATGCTACCAGTTTTTGAAATACATTCACATATCGTTAGTGTTATTCCACAAAAATAAATATTCTATTTTCAAAGTAATGTCTGATTTTCTACAGAGGAACCTCGTAACAAATTGTATCCTTACACGCCTATACGAATTATTCTAAAACTTAAACAGACAAATTGTTCGAGTTTTTCCATTTATTCCACCAACCATATATTTGACTATGTCAATTATTTACGTTTAACCTCAATTATGTTTTACATCAGCATTTGATTGTACGTGTGTTTTTCCACTTCGTGTATTCTTCATGGTTTAAAAAAACTGAGTCCTTTTATCATTCTTTAAGTTAATGTATTACCGAACTTTAATGGTTTTGTTTGCTTGTGTCATTCAACATTACCGTGACTGAAATATACGTATCCTAGGTAAAATTCATATTCAACTTTTTACATACCATTATTCTACACATATTAACTCAATAGAACATACATGACGAAGTAGGATATATACATATCATTTTGAGATGGTGGAGAAGATTTGTAACTCAGGTGGATGATTTTGATGGATCAAAATATATACATATCTTTTCATCGATAAGCTTTGATCGGTATTGAAGTATAAGGTATGAGGAGCATTGACAACCGATAAGTAAATCCTCTACATAATCTAATTTATTACAGGATGAATCCCAGACCCAGTTGTCAAGCATTAAGACAGCATGTGCACAAAGCTCAATAACTCTTTACTCATTTTTAGAAAACAAGCAACTGTTTCAATGACCAGGATCGACAAAACTGCTCAACTGCAAGGACATAACAAATATAAATAGTAAAAAATAAAGTATCAGAATATCTGAAAGAGAAATAAGTAACTAACAAGGAAAAACTTCACCAAAAGAAAACAGGGATTTGTGTTAATTTGGTTGTAACCAATAAATGTCATCTATCATAGATCTTAACAAATACAAACAGTGATATTCGAATTTACCTGTTCGAGTAACGCCTCACGATGGTTTGAATAAATATGAGCATCGCCAATCGTGTGAACGAACTCACCAGGTTTTAAACCAGTAACATGAGCGATCATACATGTTAATAAAGCATAACTTGCAATATTGAATGGTACACCAAGACCCTATGCATAACGAAAAGGAAGTATCGAATTTAACCAAATATTGAAAAATAGTGTACACAAGAAAGTAATAACTGATGAAATATATCTTTTATATATGTCCTACAAAACAACTTTCAAAAACGTACAAATGTAAATCTTATTAAAAGAATTATTTTATATCATTAATTGTAGTATCAGTAAAAAAAATCAATTTTTCTCTGAAGCAAACCAATAAAACCTGAAAACACTGAAGCCAGTAAGTGACAGAGTTGGATTCTCTTACGAAGCTAATGGCTATCAATGCTAGTAAGCTATTTACCTTAGATATGCTTAACGTGTTCATGAAGTTAGAGTTGATAGTATTAGCAAACTTGGTAATCATAAAGTTAATAATCAATTATCAAATCCTAGATATGGAAACAATTATCATCCTAAATTGAAAAATATCTCGTTCTTGAGTTTGTTAACTACTTTTCCAGCTAACAAAGGTTTTAAAAATTAAAAAAAAACAGTTATCTCATGGAACACCAAAAATACTCACCATATCCCCTGAACGTTGATATAATTGACAACTTAACTCATCATTTGCAACATAAAACTGAACAAGACAATGACAGGGAGGAAGAACCATTTTACACAGATCTAAATAAGCAAATCATATCAAACGTTTATCAAATAACACGGTGACCATAAAATTATAATCAAACCTGTGAATGACAACCATGATGATGAATAAACTGTTACAAACGATAAATTAAATGATTTGTACAAATATTCGTCAATATTAGAACGAATAGTTTGACAATAATTGGGCGCCGAGTATAGAGAAGTCATTATATGTGAAAATTATATTTGAAATAATCTCAGCGATTGAAATGTAAATAATTCCAACTTTTCGTCCAAACATGCTTGAAATTATTTAAATTCCAATCGCTGAGATTATTTCAAATACAATTTTCATATATAATAGGTATCATTACCAAGGTTTGTTCCGTTGTACTATTTAAACTTGGATTAATTTTAATTTGGTTATTTATTCTCTGAAGAAGTGACCTACACTAAGTCACGAAACGTCAGAAAATCTAATTTTCTACTCATTGGGATATTACAAATATATTATTTATTTTCACATATAATGATAAATTAAATGATTTAATAAAGCTACTAATAATGACAATGAAATACCAACGAAATTTTGGGATGAAGTTAACTCTTTACTATTCCCTTTAAGAAACTTATTCAAAATCACCATTATATTGATAAAACACCGTGAAATTTTTTTACAATTAGCTGATGAGCAATTATTGCAACATTTCTATTGCTTACACAAACGTTTTAAGTTGAAAAAACCAAGTAATATCATTCAATAATAATTACACAATAATACAGTTAAGATACGGCATCAGAAGAAACAATGCAGGCTTATATATGTTCGATACAATGTGATGAACAATATGGTAGTCATCTGAAATTTTCAAAGATATTTGTTTATTTATTTTATTTGAATAACATTGGTTCCAGAATTGATGGTCTAAGCAAAAAAAAGTTTGTAGGAATTTAAAATTCTAGAAGTCAAACTGTTACAAAAAGTTTACGCATATAAGTGATTGAATCATTACGCTTGAATTAAGAAATTATGGCTCATTAGAATAAGTGAGAAGTAAATGTCAAACCGATTAAAAATAAAGCATTTTGATTGCTAAAAATCTTCTGATTATTTGTCATTCTCATTTTTCTGTACCTTTAATAACTGTCACTTAAGTAGTGATCTAAAACATAGGGGACTAGAATTTCTCCAACTCCAACTGAAGAACTAACGTAGAAAAAATGTTATGTAATACCTGTGCGACTAAGAAACGACGGTGTTCTGGAGATCTGCTTATACGTTGTAATTTCAAAGAAAGAGAAACATTGAGATCTCACCAGATAATAATGAACGAATCAACGAATTAATTCACCTCAAAAATATACTTCAAATTCTGAATACGATGAAGAGCGTAAACAGATCAGATCTAGGTTAAGTAAAAGTCTAAGGAACGACCGTGAGCAGTCGTGGGCAACAAAAGCAAAAGAGATATAAAATGCAGCGGTTGTAGGTAACACTAAACAGCCTTTCAGACTAATAGAAGAAACTGGAATTAGTAAGTCAAGTGTAAGTCAGACTATTTCGGAAAAAGACGACACTTATATCTGCTCTCAGCCCGGACGCTTCGAACGATGGGCGGAACATTTTAGAGAACAGTTTACCTGGCCTTCAGCTACTCTACAACCACCCACCATTTCCAAACAGAGTGAATGGAACATTGAAGTAGGTCCCCCGACTCGAGCTGAAGTTCAAAATGCTATAGTAAATTTGAAACGAGGAAGGGCAGTTGGTCCAGATGGATTGGTTTCAGAGGTCTTTAAGTATGGTGGTCCAATTTTAGCGATTAGGTTGACTAATATTTTAGCTAAAATCTTGGAGTTAGACGTAATCCCATCTGACTGGTCACAACCACTTATCGTCCCAATATATAAGAGAGGGTCAAAATCATTTTGTGACAACCATAGAGGGATTAGTCTAACTAATATAGCATCTAAAATACTAGCGTAAATAATTATTGGTCGTCTAATTAAGACTCGTGAACTGCAAACACGAGAAAATCAGGCTGGCTTCAGACCTAGTCGTGGTTGCATCGACCACATATTCACCACTCGTCATGTTCTAAAACACAGGCACACTGATCGGTGTCCAATAATGGTGGTCTTTGTTGACTTACAAGCAGCATTTGACTCCGTAGGCCGCGAAGTTCTGTGGTAGCGTCTATCATTGAAAGGTGTACCTCAGAAGTACATAAACCTTGTGAAGGCTCTTTACTCAAACACTACCAGTTCAGTCAAAGCCTATAGAAAACCGTCATCTGATTTTGCAACCTCAAGTGGTGTCCGACAAGGCTGTCCACTATCTCCATTTTTGTTCAACCTCATCATAGAACTACTGCTGGAAATAACGTTCTCTTTGACTGAATTTTCAGGCGTTGATCCCCTATCCAGGAGGTCCACTCATCGACTTAGAATACGCAGATAACATAGTCCTGTTTGGTGAAGACGCTGATAAAATGCAGTCTTTTTGTAGCACTGAACAACAATGCCAGGATGTTCAAGAAGCATTTTTCCCCTCTAAATGCAAGTTTTTGCTTCAGAATCGGACTGCGTCAACACCTGGACTAAGGATAGGGAGTGAAGTAGTCGAATGCGTTGACAACTTCATTTATCTTGGAAGTTTGGTCAGCCCTATTGGATTGGTGTCTGACGAAATCTCAGCACGGATTCGAAAACCTCGTTTGGCTTTCGCCAACTTACGTCACCTATGGCGAAGGCGAGATATCCGTCTATCAATAAAAGGACGAGTATACTGCGCGGCAGTTCGTTCCGTCCTACTATACGGCTGCGAAGCATGGCCTTTAAGAGTAGAAGATACCCGTAAGTTACTGGTATTTGACCACAGATGTCTTAGAAATATTTCCCGCATCTGCTGGTATCACCGGGTAAGTAATAGTGAGGTTAGGCGTAGGGTATTAGGGAATTATGGTAAATCAGTCAATAAGGTTGTAAATTTTCATCGACTGAGTTGGTTGGGCCACGTATTGCGTATGCCTGAACACCGTTAACCACGACGCACAACGCGGACTGGCGCTGGAGATGGATGGAAGAAAGCTAGGGGCGGCCAAACCAAAACGTGACATCCGTGCTTGAAGATACTAACTTCTGGTCTGAGCCATGTTGGTTGGGGTCCGCGTGACTATCGTAACCAATGGTTGAAGACTCTTGGTGACATGGCTCAGAATTGATCACAATGGCATCTCTTAAACAGTGAGATTACTTTATACCTTTCTTTCTACGAACTAATACTTTCTTATCATATCATATTATTATGTGAAATCTTTTTATATATTGCTACCAATAAGGTAACTGTTTTTATGAATTTTGTGCTAATTACGTGTGATGGAGAAAGTTAGGGGGGCCAAAACAAAACGTGGCATCGACTCATGCTGCAAGTGACACAAGTTGGCAAAAGCTAACCGAGCCTTCTGAATCCGTACTGAGATTTCGTCAGACACCAGATCGCCAGTACTGATGAGACTCCCAAGATAGGTGAGGCGGTTGATGCACCCAACTATCTCACTACCCATCATTAATTCAGGCGATGACGCAAGCCAATCCTGAAGCAAAAGCTTGCATTTGCAGAGAGAAAACCGCATCCCAAACATGCTTGCATTGCTGCTTAAGGTGTTCAGAAGGCTCTGCACTTTGTCAGTATTTCACCAAACAGAACTACATCGTCTGCGTATTGTAAATCAACAAATAATTCTCCTGACGGAAGATCAACCCTTGAAAAGTCAGACTATGAGATCGTTATCTCTAAAAGCATGTCTATGACAAAGTTAAATAAAAATGAGTAGAGCAGACAACCTTGACGAACACCTTGAAGTAACCAACTCTGACGACAGTTCGCATAAGCTGACTTGACCAGTAGTGTTCGAGTAAGGAGCCTGTACAAGATACACAGAACATCACGACCGACAGAGTCGAACAACCCCTTAAGATCAAGAAATACACATATAGTCGAATGTCGAAAAGTATGTCTATGTTCTAGAGCATGTCGAAAAGTGAATATTTAGTCTATACATTCACGTTCAGGTCTGAAACAAGCCTGGTTTTTCCTTCATGACCTCTTGTTAGACTTCGAAGTATTATTGAGGCTAACATTTTAGACACTATATTAATTGAACTGATTACTCTATGGTTGTTACAAGGTGATTTTGCCCCTTTTTATACACTGGGACGATCAGTGATTGAGACCAATCAGATGGGATTAAGTCCAGTTACCAGATTTTGGTTAAGATCTCACTTAATTTAACTAATTAAAATTTTTAGAGGTTAGTCCGCCAGGTTCAGTTGCTCTCCGTCGCATTAGATTGCTTATGTCCTTTTCAACCTAAATAAGTTGGAGTACTTATGTCAGCTTGTCATTTAGGTTGCTTGGAGAGTGGATAAATGAAATGTGGCGAAATCCCTATCTCCTAGATCGAAGTTGAATAGTTCTGTCTTCTTCCGGAATATTTTAACTGACAGTCGGATTTTTAACACCTGTTTTCTTGATAAGTCTGAACAATTATCTACTGTTAACTTTTGATACGACCTTTTTTATCCCTTCTGCTTTCATTGCACATCATTCCTCACGACCACTACGTGAGCGTTTCATCGGCCTCATCGTGCTCGGAACCAGGCGGGATGTCAGCTTTATAGATACCATCGAAATGCACCGCTGTGTTATTAACCTTTTGGTTTAACTTACTAGTAGATATTACTGCTATTCCGACAGAACTTTGAACATCACACCAAGCTACCCCGGGGTGGATAAATTTTTCATGGTTGACTAACTCCTGCTTTAGTTGTTCCTGAAATATATTTTCGACTTTTTCATCATTAAGTTTAACTTTAAGGGGTTTTCTTCCTGTGGCTATTCTACATCCAGTAAGATGCTCGAACAACAGCATGATCCGAGTTCAAACATGTGCTCCATAATGAACGACAACCTTTTATTTAGCCCCTCCAACGATGGCTATGATTTGAGTCCATCGATGAGTCGCTTGTGATCACCAAGTCAGACGACATTTTTCTTGATGTTTAACGCTGATATTTCTTAGAAATGCACGATTACCTGAGTATAGTTGAAGCAGACGGTCCGTATTATATGTTCAATGAGCTGCAACACCATAAGAACCACCTACATCCATTTCTGCTTGGTTTAGTTTATCTATTTGAGCATTAAAATCACACGTCACTAATATTGCATCAGACCGTTTAGCTTTTTGGAGGCTGGACAGCTTTCTATAAGATTCATCCTAAACTTCATGGCCATGTGGTACCGTATTTACCGGCGAACTCGAAGGTCCTGGGTTGCATTTTGTGAGAGATCATGAGAATGCACTGTTAAGGGGAAACAGCTAACTTGTAATGAATATTTTTGCCGAACTGGGGAAAATCGACAAAGCATTTCTGATTACAGGGTTTCAGATTGGAACACCATGCCACCTAATTTAGTTTGAGCAAATGGGAAGAATTGCCATATCCATGATACGAGAAAGTAACCCAAAGACAAGTACTCGATCCTCGATTGAACTAATTACTTGTACTGGCTATTAGTTTTTTTTCTACATAAGTAATGAATGAATTGGTAAATTTTAAAATTACGAATGACGCAGTGAAAATAAATGTTTGAGTGAGTAGTATTCAATACTAAACAATGATATAAAAAGTGAACATACGTTTAGCAATTTCAAGAAATGAATACCCCAAAATATTTCGGAAAACGTTTGATCTGTTTAAAAATAGATTTCCTCACCTTTAACATTCCAAGCCACAATCATAATCCTTCTATCCCAAGGGCGTTCACGTATAAGTTTTATCACATCAGCAAGTTGATCAACACCTTGACCAGTATAGTCGGTTTGACAGTCTACATATTCTGCTCCGCTGTGACGCCACTGGAAACCATAAACTGGACCGAGATCACCTTCAAGATTTTGAGCAAAAATATGAAAACACGAGTAACAAAGATAACGTAACTAAACCAGTAGAAATTGCTTGAGATCATCCTGTCACGCTTCAGATTTTAACGCTAATGATACAATTCCTTGTATGAAAAACGGATTCTGAGGAATAAAATTCAACCAAATAAAAATGGTTACAGAAAATTAGACTATTTATGCACCAGATTACTTTATTATGAAAAGCTAACGCTATGACGAGAGAACAGCAAAAATATTCCTATTTAACAAGTAGCAATTTTGACTAAAGATAAAGAGGACTTACTACATACCCTAGTTTGCTACAAGGAATATAGGCCCACCGCGATTAGTCCTACACGAGCAGTGCTATTTCCCAGTAACTAGATATGAGACCGAAAGGATCAAAAATAAGCTTCCAACAAAATTTTATCACGTTCTTCACGATGAACTACTTACTACTAGTAAATAAGCAATAAAAATTTAACAGACATCAACTTGTATTAGAAATTAGAAAGCATTCAATGCCACTAGTGGTAATTTGATATATTTGCATGACCTACAGTAAGAAAATAATTTCGCCCTATAAATTAGATTAACTTTATTGATGACAGAAATAAGTGAATAAAATTTATTGAAGACAGTAATCATGTGTTAAAATTATCCTCACGATTAAAGTCATTAGTCCTAGAGTGCATAAAAGGTCAAATAACAGCAAATATCACTCATGTCAAGAAAACAAACTGATTCATAAATCATTACAAACTATTTTAATGACCTCACCTTCTTCACGCTTAGTAAATCCTAGTCCATCTAAAAATTTACGAGATCCATTTGCATCCCAGAAATGTACATTCTTTTCCGCCAGTTCACGAGAATTTGTAGATCCACGAATAAACCATAATAGCTCTTCTACGATTCCGCGAAAAAACACCTAATAAATCATATTTTAGAAGCTTAAATTATTGGTAAAGTAACCTAGCTTAGGTGAATTATATATATATATATATATATATATATATATATATATATATGCCTGGTCTTTTAATATCAATTCGTTTAGAAGCTACACGCCTATAAATCGGGCTTGTGAACAGGTATCATTCAGCCACAATGGATTATCGCACATAATCAGATCACCATTCAACCTATTACTCAATAAAAATAAACTAACACGAATGTGGTTGAACATTTCAGCATTCTATTAATTTGAAATCTAAGTTGAGAATGAACTGCACTCACACAACGACTGCACTACAACCGCCAACAAAATCCTACCACAATGCCTATTAACGAAACTTTAAAGATCATAATCATATGGTCCTTTACGTAAATGTGGTGAGTAGTACTTTAGTGGATTTTACTTTGTCACTAGATTTCAGGTTCGAGACCCGATCCACCTACTTTAGTCTGGATAACTGGATAGTATCACTAACCCTTACAATTAGTGTGGCTCGAAGTCAAGTACACTGATTTGTACCTGGTAATACTAGTTAACTGTTTATTACTAACAATTTCAATCTGACAGCATAATCATAGGAAATATTTTGTTTCTTGAGGTCATTTGGTAAGTAATTAGGGATCATAATCTTTAACACTTCACATTTTCAGGTTTAGGCAGTTATTTAGTATTTCTAGTCTTCATACAGGTCTAGCTTGAATTCTGAGTTACGAACCTTAGCTGCATTTTTAAAAAATGGCAAATACTTGGATAAACGAGTTTATGATATAAAAGGTTAAGAAAACTTTTCTTTCTGACTATTTAAAAAACGAGGAAAATGGTAAAAAATCCGTTTTGATGCTGCAGTCACTGAGATACATTTCCGTGATTTAAACAAAATGGCAATCAACAGTAAAAATACCGAGTATCAAAATTAATTTTAAAGAAATAAAGGGAAGGCTGGAATAGTGTATATCTATCCACTGGGAGTTAATAACAATGGTATAACTGTTGAAGATATAATATGACCACCAAGTCTAAAAAGCATCTTCGGATAGTAAACAGATAAGAGAAAAGTGAATATAAATCAAACCGGAACAGCTTAATTATCAGACAACTTCCTAATCTAAGGGTGAAAATACATAGAAATATAAATGTTCCATTAGTTTTGCTTATGGGATATTTTACTTGTTAGAGTATATCTTTTAGACTTCTAAGGAACTTCTAGAAAAAATAATGTATACCGGAAGGGCTTTAACGACAATTGATTCAAAGAAACTTTTGATTGCATATAGTGCCTCAGCTCCCATTTAAACCTAATACACAGAAAAGGATGAATTATTCGCTTCGCAAACTACTAAGCAGAAAAACCATTTGATATGACAGATAAACACAAATAAAAGTCAAATATGCAAAGCATTCACAAACATACTGTTTTTGTAGTCAGTAGAGGATATTCATGATTCCTAAGAGAAAAGCGAAGCTGTGGACCGAAAACTCCAAATGTCCCTGTGTCGGTACGATCTCTCCGTTCAACGCCATTGGCAAGTATATATCGCAACAAATTTAAGTAGCCATTTTCACCGAATATGTGCTCGGGGAAAAATGAAAATCCTGTTGGTGGATTTTCAACCGCTGAATCCCTGAAAAAATAAACAAAGTTTCAGAGTGACAAGAATAATAATGAACGCTTAAAAACTAATACGTAGAGACGCCGTAAGCTAATGGTAGACTGAAATTCATTGTTACGTAGCACTCAGCAAAGCTAATAATGTCACATTAAACATATGGTTATAGCATCTCATTGGCGCTAATATCGATCTTTCAGCCACTGATTTATCGAAATCAACAAAGAACTTTAAGGTTGGTAAGAAAAAAAATGGTTACTATTTTCATCTTATGATTAGATACTGAAAGGACGTCTAGTATAACACATAACCAAGAAATTCACCACTATATTACGTAGAAATATGAGGTAATCGTAGTGCACACAAGGACAAAAACAGGCATTGAAAATACAGTCCAAATAAGAATCAAATTAACGTAGGTGCTTCATTAGCAACAAGAAAATGCATTAAGACTACCTGTACTTCCTAGTTTAAGTTATTTTATGACTCTACCCCAAAAGTGATGAACCAATGTAAGTTTATTCAATAAATATTTTGTTCCTAGGGACTTTCATCGAATATAGATCAATTTCATTTAACACACCAACAGTACTTAGATAGCTACTTGTATACTCTCCTCTTGACTTATTTCGGAATATCACAGGATAATTGCATGTATACGTCTCTGTCGGTTGGTAGTAGTTTATAGTTTATTAAAACACATATACTTACGAAAGCTGATTGACAACTCAGTAACCTGTGTATAAATAAACAATTAAGTGATGTAAGTTATTTAATTGATATCAAGTGGTTCTTCGAGGGGCAGTTTAACTGATCTGCCTCCCCGAAGACATCGATCACACTGTCCCGTGCTCATGGCCAGTGACGAGTGATCCATCTAAGAACACAGAAGTTCGCAAGGAACTTCAACCCCTGGAACACCACAAGTCACCACGGTCAGATGACTTACCTCCGGCCCTTTTAAAAGATGCTGGCGACCTTCCGGTGAATGAACCAAGCTGTTTACAAATGTCTGGTAATTAGAGAACATTCCAACATCGTAGAATGAGTCAATAGTTTCCCCTACCTTAAAAAAGGTTCACGTCGCCTACGCAACAAATATCGTGAGATAAGTATACCTACGATCGCATCAAAAGTATTGGCTTCCGTCATACTCCGTAGATTGTTCAAACCCGAGGAAGACTGACTAGTGAGGAGCAGGCCGGTTTTCTGTTCTGACCGAGGATGTATGGATCATATCTTCACCCTCCGGCAAGTGTTAAAACACCGTCATACCGATTACAAGCCAACAACTGTGATGTTTCTTGACATCAGTGCCGCCTTAGATTGGTTGGACAGGACTGTTCTCTGGAATTTTCAATTGGAGAAGTGTGTGCCTGAGAAGTGTATTAACATCTTACAAGCCCTATACACAAACATATCAGGTAGAGAGAGGGCATACAACCACCTCTCTCCATTGTTTCATTCAAGCAGTGAAGTTAGGCAAGGATACTCAATCTCTCCATTCCTTTCCAACTTTCTTATTAACGACGTTCTGAGGACAGCTTTGATGGATGTACGTAGTGGTGATGTGGATCTGTTGCCAGAAGAAAGACTTTTCGACCTTGAGTATGTGAATGATATTTTTTACTGTGCAGAGACACCTAAGCCATGCAAAATGCATGTAATCAGTTGGAAATTAGTGTCGGTAGGTATGGTAGGTGCTTTTTACCTTCTAAGTGCAGAGTACTTCTACAAAACTGGCAGGAACCTGAACCTTCACTCTCTTGGTAGTGAGAAGAGATAAGTAGTTGAGAATTTCGGTTATCCCTGTAAGAGCTGTTGGTGTTGTGAGTGATGAGATCAATTTACATATAGTGAAAGCCAGAGCGGCTTGTGCTTATCTGGGCCATCGTGTGCGCCTTCGTGATTTTAGTCTGGCTGTGGATCTACAACGCATCGGTGAGAGTAGTTTTGCTCCATGCTTATGGAATTTGGCCTTTCCACACGAACTGATTATCCCCTTGTTCGAGAAAGGATAAAACAATCGCTCTACATTCAAACAATAGAACACTTTCAGTCTTTTTAGTTTTTTAGCCTATATGTCACTTCCGTTTTCAAGAAGCTAGAGGTCTGAGTTTGAGCCATCTCTAAATAGGCTACTTTATAAGTAATGGTACTTCACGGAATGTTTTTTACTTTTAGGATGTATGTCGTCCACTTAATTCATGAAAACACAGTAGCTAACTTGACAAACCTATTTTTATTAAATCAAAGTTGTTTTCTTCTGAATGTTACTGCCTGAAAAAAATATGTTCTGTCGTTTATGGAAAAAAGTCAGAAGGCCATAATTTTGAGGATTATTTGTTTTTACATAGTTTCTGAGGTCCGAAGCTATCATTAAATATTTAGAGTAGATATTTGGCCTCAGCCAATAACAAAGTACAGGCGCATTCCAAGTAAGGACCGGAGTAAGACAAGGCTGTCTACTCTCTCCCTTCCTGTTTCTTCTGGTGGTCGACTGGATTATGAAGACCTCGACATCTGAGGGAAACTACGGCATACGATGGACAGCTCAGAACCAATTAGACGACTTGGACTTCGCAGATGACCTAGCCCTCCTATCACATACACACGAACAAATGCAGATAAAGTCAGCCAGCATAGCAGCAGTCTCTGAATCAGTAGGCCTCAACATACACAAAGGGAAAACCAAGGTCCTCAAACACAACACGGAGAACAGCAATCCAATCACTCTTGATGGCGAAACTCTGGAAGACGTGGAATCCTTCACATACCTGGGAAGCATCGTCGATAAACAAGGAGGTTCAGATGCAGACGTCAAGGCGAGGATTGGCAAAGCAAGGGCCGCATTCCTTCAACTGAAGAACATATGGAACTCAAAACAACTTTCAACCAATATCAAAGTCAGAATCTTCAATACGAACGTCAAGGCAGTTCTACTGTACGGAGCTGAAACTTGGAGAACTACAACAACCACCATCAAGAAGGTACAGGTATTTATCAATAGCTGTCTACGCAAGATACTCAACATCCATTGGCCGGATACCATCAGCAACAGCCTTTTGTGGGAGAGAACCAACCAGCTTCCAGCTGAAGAGGAAATTAGGAAAAGACGATGGAAATGGATAGGATATACATTGAGGAAATCATCAAACTGCATTACGAGACAAGCGCTAACCTGGAATTCTGAAGGGAAGCGGAAAAGTGGAAGGCCAAAGAACACATTACGTCGGGAAATAGAAGCAGATATGAAAAAGATGAATAAGAACTGGAAAGAGCTTGAAAGGATTGCCCAGGACAGGGTTGGATGGAGAATGCTGGTGAGCGGCCTATGCTCCTTCACGAGGAGTAACAGGTGTAAGTAAGTAAGTAATAACAAAGTAACAATATTCTAGCTATATGATTTTCGGAGATTACTCAGAACTGAATAAATATCCAGTAACCAAAAAACAATTATTAACAAATGGTAAAATTACAACAGTTCTCAAAATGCACCTTAGATTATCAAGCATACATACATGACTATCAATTGAAATGAAATATGTAACAAATATATTTGAATAACAGTTTCCCGAAGACAGCTATTTCACTAAATGCTTCTGAATAGGTGGCTCAGCTGCAATGCTTTTGGTTAGTCTATATTGCGTTTTGAAAAACGTTTTACAAACCGCTCCCTATAAATAAGTTTAACTACATAATAATACTACTACAATAGTTCCTCTAATTAAATATTTTATTAAATGTTGCTGGAAACTGAAAAACGCACTTTCCAGAGGCCTTTTGATCTTCACGTGCTTCCATAACCAGTTCTATTAGATGATTCCAAATGAAATCAATTGGGACTTTTGCAAGGAATTATAAATATCCAAGTAACTAAAAAATATAGAGCTGTTGAGACTCACCTGAAAAAAAATAAAATAGGAATATAACCTGAGAAAGGTGAGTCACTGAAAGTAATCACTTGTTACAAACAGCACAGATATAGTCAACAACCTCAACAAAAAACACCAAAAACAACGATAACATAAATTAGCGATATATATATATATATATATATATATATATATATATATATATATAGTTACACCTAACCTATATATTATGACATACAGGTTGTGGCGATTACCAGTCTGACAAACCTGGTGAAACTCTCAAGATTGGGGAACTTAACAAAATCAACAAATCAGCAATCGAGGTAATTTGGTCAGAAAAGAACAATATTTCCAATTTCGCATAGTTTTAATAAGCAAAACAAAAAACGCTATATTGTCACTTAAGAAAAGCAGGGCACAATAAACCCACCCTATAAATGAAGCGACAGTCTGTGACGAAACAAAAGAAATAGAAGTGTAGTTTAAAAACAAAATAATAAATAAGTGGATGAGAATAGCATATAATACGAGAATGTTGTTAAAAAATAACACCAAAAAAGACTTCTTTCAGTCACCTATTCCTCTCAGGTTTACGAAGCGTAAATAAAACATAAAGTAGGCAGCATATATCGTGACATTGCGGATAGTGAAAAAATGCAAACGTTCAATTATGGCAGAAGATACCTGAGATACATATCTTACATAATAAAGCCTCAAATCGCAATGAGGATTACATGTCGTGCAGCAATCCAGTCAGTCATCTACAACGTAGGACCAGGCACATATATGCATCGGTCCAAGGTGCTACACCTCATTAGCACAAGATGACCACCAAATTCATAGACGCAGTTACTTTAGTGATAGTAGTATATAAAAAGATTAAATATAAGGATACGATACAGGTAGTAAGAATTAGTACGTAGAAAGAAAGGTATGAAGTAATTCTAATCTCACAATCTAAGGGAAGACAGTGTATACACCTACGCCAATGTGATCGATTCTGAGCCACGTCACTCAGTCTCAAACCATTGGCTACGATAGTCGCTCGGACCACAACCAAGTAGTGTGCACCTACCAACATGGCTCAGGCCAAAAGTTAGTGACTTTTTGGACAGATACCACGTTTTGGTTTGGCGGACCCTAACTTCCATCCGTCGGCAATGCGCGCCGTGCAGCGATTACCTAGTTAGATATAAGAAACTACAGATTTTATTTAGTGATTCAATGTATGTCATATTTACTGTAACTACTGGCCAACGTAATAGCAGTAGACCTAAAGAATATTTTATACTCTGGGACAAGATTTTTCGATAACTACAGGGACAGACTAGATGAAAATAAAATAAAACGAGTATAAAAGCAAGTTTATACTTTGTAGTTTATGTTTTGACTGCTGTACATATATTTCATTCCAGCGCTCAGATTTTTCGTAATATCTTCTCGACAGTTTAGTGATATTGATTTTGCTATTTTGCCAGTACATAACAGTATGTAATATTATTCGTAATATACATAACATCCAAACTATTCTTATTACCTACTTAACCATACTCATATACCGGTATACTTAGCTGTAGAATTCTATAGAAAGTTTGGTTTAGGAATTCTATTTATTTTTTTATCCGAACACATACATTGGTACAAAGGGGCACTAAATACATATGCGCCGCAAAATAACACTGAGGCCAGTGGCAGCTGCCGTTTACTTGTGCGAGGGCCGTGATACAGCCCGAGTGCTCAAACCACGGCAGGCGGGTCCCTTAGGGGGTTCCCCCGAAGCCGTAAGAAATATGGCAGTTTCCCTCAAAGTTTGGTGAAGCTCCAAAGTGTGATAAGATTCTAGGTAAATATTGGGGAAAACCCAAAGTTTCCCCAAACACTTTGGAGGTTTTGTGCCATTGACCCGGAATTTTCCCAAAGCTTTTTATAGTGGTTTCCGCATAATTTACCTAAACAGGACAAAATTTTCCCTAAAATAGGGAGATTGGGATATTTCGTCATTTAAAAACAGTACACAAATTTTAGGAAAAATCCTGTGGATCTTGATCAGATGCGGAGGATAAATTAAAACCAATGTGCTTACGCAGATCTTTTATTGGGGATAAGATAAAGTTAGATAAACACAGAATCAGAGGACAACTCCAAAGTACCCCGTAGCGTGACGAGTTTAAATGAGGCGCCCTAATTTAACAGAACCCAATATCGTGCAAGACTTTACATACGAGGTCATAAAGCGAATGTTTAATGACGGCTTATATAGGAGTTGGCGTCTATGGAGTGGGAACTTGTGTACTAGAATAGTATTCAGGGTAGCGTAAGTGAAGATATTTGGAGAAGAATAAAAGAAAATTTGACACACCATGCACTTACCCTATTAGGGAGAGTAATAGACAACAATTAGGAATGACACAAGACTCAGACTAAGAAAAGCTTCAAATCGCAAATAGAAGCAGACAGTTTAACCCTTCTATAGCACTTGGTGCTTGAATATAACTGTTATTACTATTAGAACAAAAGTACCAGTTTATGTAACTTGACTGAAAATTCTATGCCTTCAATTTTTCCCTCGTTAATGTTAACAATCACTTTATGACCGTCCAATAAGGATACTAATTTAGCCACAACAGTAATTCAAGTCTCCAGATAAATATTGTGATGGTGTATCCAGATACATTACATGAAAATTTTCTCCTCCTTAAGATATTTAGTATAACAATCTTCTAGGACACAAAACTAAACGGCTAAACGTAAAAATATATCGGTGACCTACTTTCATCTGCTTTCATGTTTGTAGTAAGCCCATTGACTATTTTACTACCTACGCACAATGGATCAAAACTCATGGATATTTTTAATTTTGTACGGCCAGTGAAATTCCACTGAGCCCTCGCCAAATCATCCGGCAGTTGGGTCTTTGGATATCGAGCAAATCAGCGATCCTCGTCAAGGCCGAGGACAATCAACGCGTATCAGTTAATCGTACGCCATGGACTGGGCCATGTAGTAGTGGTCTTACCTTCGCTTATATCTACTTTAACCAATATATTTCTGCAATAATGTCCTTTGTGTTGTACAGTCTTCAAAGCATCTATAGTGCCTTGATACATCAATGAGGTAATCCACGTAAAATGCTAACCGCGAGGTGTGACTTTAACGTTAGCTAGTTTGTCACACCATTTACGTCTAACTCGAGTAAGCCTCCAATAATTTCAACATAGATCATCTACGTTGATGATATACAATTTTTACCCCCATTCACTCACTTGCTTCCCAGACTGCTTGCCTTTTCAGTGCTCACGGATCTGATCATGAGAATGAAAGCGAATTCCATTCTTTAATGTAGCAGTGAAACGGAGGAAAGATGACACAATTTTTTTCTAGCATCTGAGACTCAGATGGGCACTGCGAATTCATGAACGTTCATCAGAAAGATATCACCAGTAGATCAAATTAAAATATTGTTATACTCAATGGGGAAGTTTTCCACCCTCAGTCCATCATAGAAAAATATGTTATTCACTGGATAGATTGTGGCTCGCTATAAAATTCATTTATATGATGGTCGCTAGCATAATAATTGAATGTAAAGATGCCTCAAAGATTTGGAGTTTGACAACGCATCAGCCAGCAACACCTTTATAATCAAAATGTGCCAACGCATTCGAATCAGAAGGAAAGAGGTTCAAAGATTTATTTGATAGAATATCGATATATCGAGAAGTCATCAACCTGAGCTGACTGTCGATTGTAGGAGATATGAAGTGTGACTTACCCACTCGTGTTCTGGTGCAGATGCGTGAACAAGCACTTTCAGTTACGTGATTCCATTAAAACTGATGCGGTGGGCATCAAATATCGAAGACGTAGAGAGCTATTGAAATTGGGGATTTATTTGCCATTTCACGTATTTTCGAACTAGTTATTGTTATAATCATTGACAAACATCTTATGGGTACATAACTGTAAGGAAATCATTTCGGATTTCTTCAAAAATGAAATAATACACAAGTTTCAATAGTGTTAGGACTTTATTTGCCGTATTTCAAAAAGGGAAAAAAGAAATAATTATAATAGGATAATAATGATAAATCGGGTTTACTGTAATTGAGAATATTGAATTGACGTTAAAGAAAAGAGGGAGAAAATAAGGGAATAGAGATAAAGGAGACGTGAAATACGCAAATGGTTTTATAATCGTGTTTATGAACGCAGAACAAGAATAAACGACCATGTATGTGTCGTTATGTGTGTAAAAACAAGATGATAAAACAAAATAAATAACAAAAATAACTCAATGTTGCAGTAAGATATGACGCTAGAATAAATGTTTGTGCAGTTATATTTTGGAGTGATGCTATGAAAGTCTCAAATAAGTGAAAAGGATAACCAAATATTAATATGTATGAAACATACTTACATAATAAATATAAAACGAATCTGAGAAGTTAATTTAAGTGTAACATAAGTTATTGTCTTAATTACAAAGTTCGCAATTTTAATAATAATATTTCTTTGGAAGGAAAAGAGAGAGGAAAGAAATGAACACCTAGTGAAAGGGTTCAATCATGATAATAATAATTTTGTAATGAATATCGACCTCTGAAGTAAACCAACAATTTTAAAACACCCTTTAGTGTGATCGGATAAATGCATATAGATTTATGTAATAATATACAGAGTGAAACTTGGTATTAGCATAAGCATTTGTGCTATAATAATTTGGAATGGTGCTATGAAAGTCACAGACTAGCTTTTGCTAACTTGCGTCATTTGTGGCGTAGGCGAGATATCCGTCTATTAACCCAGGGACGGGTTTACTGCAGAGCACTTTGTTCCGTCCTACTCTATGGCAGTGAAACATGGCAGGTAAGAGTAGAGGATATTCGCAGGTTACAATATTCGACCATAGATGCCTTCGAAACATTTCTCGTATATCCTGAGAACACCAAGTAGCGCAGTTGTTAGGAAACGGGCAATAATGATAGTAATAATTTATTCTCAAATAACAGTCTCTTGCATGAGGCATGCCAGTTTACAGGCAAGATCAAATTGTTACAGATGACACGATTTCCAACTGTAGTAAATTACTCAGCTGGGTTGATATTTTATAAGATATGAATGTAGATGGTTTTAGTCAGTATCACAGTTGGCGCGCTTTATGAAGGCTGAGTTGCGACGTGCAACTGATGGTTGATAATAGATCCACTGAAGTTGGGGGCTTCCAGAAATCGCAATCTTATACCCCTTTGGATTATTTGAGGCTTTAAGGATGGTGCAGGACGAGGTCACCCATTCCGTATCTCAAGGGGGCTTGAAATGGTGCAAGAAAGAAAGGACGGGAAGCAGAACAGTCAATGTTCATGAAGAAATAGTTAAGGTATGACTACTCAGTCTCATTCTCTTTTATTAAAGTATCTATTAAACAGAAACATCCTAATAAGATAAAGAAAACAAGTGAAAAAAAGGTATGAGTGGATAAACAAATGACAAATGGAGGTGGTTCAGAAAGAAACTGAGAGTGTGGGAATATGTATAATTATAAAATATAGTGCTAGTAACAGTATTATCATACACAAATGGCTGTCTCCCTTTTTTTCGACGCTGTTGGAGCCTGTTTTAGATTTTATAGGGTCTTGAGTAGGCTTCGTTTTTAGCGAATTGTCTAGTTTGCTCGTAATAGGATTACTGGGTAGGAATTGAAACCAATTCAACGTTCTAAACACGATTTAACGAAGTATTTCGCATGATAAATCAGAATCAGTGCTATTAGTTCGTCACATTCCACTAGACCATAAGAAGATGTAACTTAAAAAATGTTCTGCTCTACAGACATGGGTGGATTAAAGTTATCTCCCCACCATCATGTTTGCTGGTCAGTAACGCCACCCTCTCTCCTTTTGTGATGGCAAGCCCTCTTACTTTTGTGGTAATTATGAATATTGTTTTGATCGAAACACATAGTTGGAATACACTGTCTCTGCTAGTCCCATGTTACATGCGAATCAGATAGTTAAAGCGTTTGCATTATGGGTTAGGTATCCATTTAGTATATCACACTGCTATGAAGATAAATATCTGTGAAAGTTAAAAAATAGGTTAGATCACATGTGGTTTAAAGATAGTAAGGACTAATAGAAAATCAAATCATATGAAAGAGTACAAAATTGTACTATGTAAGGACGGCAAATCAATTGATGAAGTAGTGAAACTTAATCAGTTGAGATGGATGGGACATGTGTTGCGTACGCCCGTCCACCGACTGCCCCGACGTGCGATGTTTTATGGTGTAGGAGTAGGTTGGAAGAAAGCTAGGGGCGGTCAGACCAAAACATGGCACAAATCCATCAAGTTACTGACAAGTAGACTGAACCATGTTGGTAGGTGTTAACTACGTGGTTGAGATTCACGAGATAATAGCAACCGATGGTTAGAGACCTTAAATAACATATCGGAAAATCGTTTGCAATGGCTCAGGTGCACCCACTCTTTGTGTTCTTCCAAATTCTAATCTTCTGAATTCTTCATGCCCCCTAATTCTTTCACTTTTCAAATTTATTTCACTTGATAATACTCCTTGAATAACATCATCAAACCTTAATGTTCCCTATTACTACTCATATTTACACTACATCTACCACCACGGGATTCGAATCGATATCTGAATCTCTGTGCTAATTTGGTATGGCGACTCAAACTGATGTACGTGCGTACGAAGTTCCACGTTGTTACTGACTGACTGACTATGAAAGTCACAATTAATTGCAATGGATAATTAAATATAAATTTCCATGTGTTATATATATATATATATATATATATATATATATATATGGTGAAGATAAAATGAATCTAGGAAGTTAATTTATTTATAGGTTTAGGATGCTTAGAAATAAAATATGTGTAGAAGGACAAAAAGAAGTAACAAGAATATCTTATGTGTCAAGAGACGAATAATGATATTAATAGCAGTAATAATTATAGATACAAACATAAGCAGACTTCATATATTAAGATGAATAAAAATAAAACAGACGTTGAAAGTTTCAAAGCTTACACTTTGCTTTTCAGTCAATTAGATGGATGACAGACCTTGTTTGTATAAATCATTATTAAACACATTGATATTCAATGGGTGACACAGTTCACTTACGGAAAAATATCATC